AGCTAATTGTAATCACCAAAATATCAATGAAAAGTATGCTCATCACATTGATAGTTGTGATAGACTCAACTTAAGCAAAGGCCTCATACTTTGTTGCAGGAAAACAGATAGCAAAGAGGAACAACCACTCATGCAAAAACATAGATAACTCAAAAAGTTTGAATTTGAAATCAACAAAGTGCAAACACCATGGTTTAGGGGAAGCCATTGATGAGAAACAATTTCTTCAGAAAGAAAATAAAAACGCATAGAATGCTGCACCTGGATAGATTTGAGTATAACTGCAACACTACACCGATTTTGCAAAATATAAAGACAAAACCTCCCATCTGCATAAACTGATCAAGACATGACAGATTATTAGATGGCAAAAGACAAAAACAGACCCATTTTGCACATAAGGCCACAAAAAAAAAAAAAAAAATCAATGAACAAAATCTTGTACATACTATTTGGATGGAACATTTGTGAGACGAACCGGACAGTTGGAGGCTTATTTGGATAATCCTCCGTAAAATGCAAAGTCAACTTGAACGTACCTGAAAAATCTCAAGAAATTTCTTGTGTCACATGAGAAATAAAAATTAATTTAGTATCCTTAAAACAAGAAGATTAAAATATCACTAAGGTGGTAACAGAAAGAATAACTAGGCAATAAAAAACAAGAAACCAGTGACTAATGTGTCATGTAACTCATGAGTCATACTATTCATTTTATTGATTCCAGCCAAAACTCGTCAAAGCTCATGAAAAGTGCACCTAAAACATAATGTCCTTTTTCTTGCAAAAGAAACATGAAATGTCTAAACACCATAAAATTAACAATTTATTAAGTCTTAACCTTGCTACCCCTACCAAGCCCTCAATATCCTCTTTACAATCAAAACACCAGGTTATATCAACAAAAAATTTGCACAAAGTTTACCATTTCAAATGTCACAGTGTTAAATTCCAAAGATTTCATGTAAAAATTTCACAAGTCATAGTAACAAGGAAAAAATCACACCAAATTCCAACAAACAAGCGATATACTGAACATGACTTACTAATTCTTCATGCTAAACTGATCAAACAAAACATTCAACAGCAGATAGCAGCAAAGAAAAGTAAAGAAAATGCAATATCTATTGCGGCCAAAACCAATGATCAATTGACAATAATCATCATAACCATCAACAGAAAACACAAGAGGACTAAACCATAAAAAAAAGGATAAACTCTGGAGCCAAACATCACAAAATAGTTCATCAATAATAAAACAGATTGCGCAAAAATTCAACCACACTCCCCCTTCATCAGCTCAGAAAATCATGTGTCCTTGAATCATGTATCAATGCATATTGATTTAAGCATGCATGTTCAAAAATCCATAACAGTTCAAATTTCAAGGAAAAATGACTAAATCAGCGGGAACTGAAACAACAAAATGATACCAATTCGTTGATTTTCACCTAAAACACAAAAAGGTAACATAATTAGCAGCTCAAATTTCACAACTCCACAAAAATCCAATAAGAAAACGTCAATAGCATAACATATAAAACAAAAAATTTATAAAATTCGAGTGAAAGAAAACAAAAACAGAAAAAAAGAACAAATTTTTACCTCCTTCCCATGGAGTACCATCAGGCCTGCAAAAAAATCAAAAACCCCAAAATTAAAAAATAAATCAAAAAGAGAAAGAAAGGAAGGAATTGAGAAATACCCAAAAATGACAGCGTTCCAAAGCATGATATTAGTTTCTTGAGGAGATACACTAAAACCAGCAGGTGGATCCTGCTGTAGGCTCTTGAAGTCTTCCATCAGCCTCTTCCTCGCTGGGGTTGACATAGCCTTCCTTCTTTTTCTAAAACCAATCCAATCCTAAATAAAAGAAAAAAAAAACCCAATTTTCTTTTACAGAGAGAGAGAGACCTGTGGGAAAATCTATGAAATATCCATCTCTGGAATTTTGGGTGTTTCACAAAAGAGAGGTCAAGCTACGTTTTTTTGTTTTCCTTTCTCTTTTTTAGCAAAGGAGTGTGGGTTTGTTTTTATATGATAAGTTTTGAAACGGACGAATAGTATGCTGCCACATCATTGCCAGCTAATTTCTATTTCTATTTTTTTCTTTTTTTTTTTCCCAAACTTTTGATGATCTTTTTACCCATTTTTTTTATTGTTCTATTTTCCCAAATTTTGTATTAGTATTTTAGAGGAGGAAAAATTAAAAGATTGTGTAACATTATTTTATTTTTAATACATATAGCATAAAGGTTTATAAAATGTAAAGCTTTATTATATTTTATATTATACAATAATATATGTTTAAAGAAAAAAAATTAAACTTGATGTTAATTTTGAAGGTAAAATAAAATTTGTAGCATGAATTAGTTGGGTCTATGATTGACTTTTACTCATTTTGAAGTTGTAGATAAATATAATAATTCGTGTATTTGTATTATATAAAATATTAAAATTTATATATTTATATCATATTTTATATAAAAATTATGTATGATCATTTGTGTCAATATAAAAATATAAAATATATATTTTTTATTTTATTAAATACATTTATAATTATTGTTATAAAAATATACTTTTGTATACATTTATAAAAATATACTTTTGTATCTTAATTTTATATTATATTTACGTCATATTACTATAATATATTTTAGATTATCATATCTAGCTATAACAAAAAGTAAGTGGAAAAGAATAAAAAATAATTACACTTGCACACGGATGCTTGCATTTGGTGTCTTACATGTTGAGATGTGAATTTTGAGAATGTGATGGTTGAGAATTAAATTGTTGAGAGGATAAGATTACAATATTTAATATAGATGAAATTTTGTTGATTAAAATTCTCATTACTTCTAAAAAAATTCACGTTATTATTTTTGGTGAGAACATGATATCCATGAAAAAAAAAATTGTATTTTCAGGAATGTAATATAACAAACATGAAAATTTACTTTCCACCAATAAAAATTAAAAGATATGAGTGCATCCCATCATACCAAACCTCAACAAGCGGGAAAAATATAAGATTATTCTCATAAATCTAATTGGCATATATCATATATGTTTATTTTATGGTTTGGGAATATAGAGTATAAGATTATATAAATAGAAATATTTTTGCATAGAAGAAAAGAATCTGTATGACTCATATCTATATTTAATAAAGTCAGAATTTTATTGATTTTAAGGGAAAAAGAAAAAGAGAAGGAAAAATATATATATATATATTCTAAAGTTTATCTCCGATGATTAGCAAAAATGGCCGGAATCTGGCTATTGTTCATCATCTTCGTCATCATGGCATGGCCTGGAGAGCTGAAGACGGTCCATGCTTTGAGAAGAATTAGGTGCAGTAGTTTCAGCCACAAGGTCAAAATTGGAGGTGAAGTTGCTTATGTTTATGAGGTTATTGGAAGCTGAGGAATTGTTTGAGTATGATGGCTGTAGCAATGCAATATGTTGTTCATGATGTTGTTGTTGCTGCTGCTGTTGCTGTGAGCTTTGAAGGGCATTTGCCATGACAAATCGACTGTTAATCAGTTGGTTTTGCACCATTGCTAGCTCGGCTTGTAGAGATGCTACCTGCAAAAACATACAATAATTTTCTATCCACTTTAAGCATGAATTACTCATTCTATTTCACTTCACTATCAAGAACAACGCATAAATGGATTCAAATCTGACCAACAAAAGAAAGGAAGACATTAGATACGGTAGTGCTTGTGTGTTAATTAACCTGTTGTTGTAAGGAAAGTATGGTTGAGACAACCATAAACAGGGTCCGATAGTCTGGCCTGAGCTTCATATGATATGGTGACCACAGCGTCATGTCTCCGGTTCATCGGAATGTGCAGCAAGAGCTTTGAAACGTTACTAGCACCGAAAACCTTGTGCACGGCAGCAAACCTGGCTGCACCCTGGTCTGAGCCAAAGTGGGGTGCAAAAATGCACCCACTAATACACTTCCTTCTCAAGAACTTGCATGCCCCACATGGGGATGCTGGGACTGGGGCAAGTTCTGCCACCTCTGGCTCAGCCTCAACCGGCATGGTGGCCCGCTTGCCAGTGCCCTTCCTACGAGTTTCAGAAACGCCATGGCATTGTGGCTCAGCCATTTCAGGGATATTATAGGTTCAAAGAAAGCAAATGAGAAAGGTGGTGATTTTGGTTGCTTATATGTGAATAAAATGGAATAGGAGGGCACGTTTGTCTCGTGAATGGGGTTGCCAAGAGAAATGTGGTAAGCTTCCTTTTCTGTCTTTCTTTTTTCTGTTGGGTTCAAAAAAAAACTTTATAATATCAAAATCAAATACAGAAAGAGAGCAGGGGCGTTATCGTTGTGGGGAAGGGAGGGAGTGAAATGAGAAGAGGCTGAGTGGTGTGAGGAGCACGTGCAAAGGGAGTGGCTTCGTTTGAGTCTTTGAGATAATGGGATTTGAGGATTCGTTTAAATTAGTAGTTTAACCAAGGTGTTAGATATGAGATAATATAAAATGATAGAACAACATAAAAAAAAAGAAAGAAGAAGTTTCATTTTTATGTGCTAATTTTAAACGTTATACGGTGATATGATACAAAAAAAAATATGATTTAAAATTTTAAAAATTTAAAAAAATCGATATAAATTTGATATAAAATATTATTTTGTATTTAATATATCGATATGAATTATGATAAAATGATTTTCATATTTTACACTTGTTATATTAAAAATAGATAGACACATTTACATGAATTGCTAGGTCCAATTTCACGTGTGGGAGTTGAGGAGGGGTTGTCTTTATGGGAAGGCACAAGATTTGTGCTGCCCGTGGCGTGTGGGATTAGTAGCTAGCTACCAAACTTGCATGGTTGTCATGCCAAAATGCCATGAATGAAGTTTCAGCTTCTAGTCCGTTCTTGTTGTAATGATGTGTATAATACCATAACTTGCCATTACTGGATTTAGTATATATTTGACAGTTTTTCATTACAAAACAAAATAAAACTCTTATGTCCAAATGGAACCGAACATAGTTGTCCTAGCTAGTTAACTTGTACCATCAACCTAAGCTACAACAAAACTGACATCTTGAACAGACAAGACAAACTGTAGTTGCATTTGAGAAAAGGAGGGTAGAGTCAGAGAACTGGAGCATATTTTCTGAGACAAACGAATTTGGACAAGAATCAAGACCGTAAATCGTCAACAGATGGAGAACAAAAACACATACTGTTGCTCTCCTTGTCCAATTAGCAAGCTAGGTAATTTATGCTTCCAGAAGGAATGAAACTTCAATTTTGACTAAGGGTCCATTTTTCATGAACGATAAAAACGACTCCAATGAGATTAAAAACAATAGTGTCGATGAAATTAATTATTATAACAATGAGGTTGAATATTGTAGTAATAACATTAATATCAGTGATGGGGATATGTATTTTTGGATATAAATAACAGTGAGATTAGATATCACACTTAACTGCCATAATTGAAAAATGTCTTATATTTGAATTTACACCAAGACAGTCAAGTGTCTAAGGTTTAGACCCTTCCCCTTCCCACCTCTAACTGAGGAGGCAGTGAAGTTGAAAACCTTCAACTGCATAATTGGGGTGCTAATGCTATCCAAATGTACCCCACAGTGCAGTTGGAGGCGAAAAGGGGCTTGGATTTGAACGCAACGAGGGGTTAGATGGAATCCTGGATTTCTAACATGTAGATATTGAAAAGTTCTACTTGCAGTGCTCTGTGTACCAAAAAACAAAGGTTCTCTAGCATGGTTCTCTTGAAAAGAAACAACAGAAAATTAGCCTCAAATTGGGCTTGCTTGATTGCCTTAAATCTCATGGCTATACATTTGGTTGGGACAATTAATTTACAATTTTATGAGCATCACCAGTCAATTGTGGAGCAATGCTTTCGGTTAATGAGAGCTTAGGTATTTTTCAAGTATGTTCTGAAGGCAAAGTTCCAAAACAACAAGAGCTGCTACAGAAACATTTCAAGCCCTTCGGCCTGACTCTAATTTCGCCATAGCTAAAAGTGAGCTCCTTATCTTCTTTTATGTCTTTTGAAGCAAAGAAACATAGATGAGGCAACAAAGCTCCTGACCTTCTCACAAGTACTGTTGATAAATTACCACCATCACAAGAATGGTTAATGAAGCGAGCAACATTTCCAGCTCTTGTGGCATCTATATTAATCCTCAAGCATGCCTTCCCAGATGGAAGATGTTCTCTCACAACTAGCAGAGCAGAAGAAAAGTGGCTGTCTGAAGCAAGTTCATCATAGATTTGTTGCCTCCTCCTAGCTTCTTTTGTTGTTAAAAGCTCACCTATCCAAGCAAATTGCAAACAGAACAGCATTTAAGGACTAATCTCCAGAGATAAGAATCATGAACCAGCTCTGCACAAATGAGGAATAACAGAAGCAATAACTTCCATCCAAAATATGTCCCCAAGCAATGTCTTCCAGACAGTGTGTTCTACTTTGGGGACACTGAATGATGTGCACAAAGTATGAAACCGAACAGGGATGATGGAGAGGAGGTGGGGGTAAATCATGATTAAAGCCTTAGCATCTTGTGTCCAATGAGGTTTACAAAAGCTTTTTGAATGACGTAAAAGTTTAACACCAACATTAATTCAATAAGACCGCCGTCACTTTGTATGGGAAAGACACATTAAGGACTTACAACAGTAAGAACCACAAAGCAAGGACAAGAAGATGGCAACAACCTGAAAGCAGAAATGGGATGATGCAAGAAAAACCATCAGTCTGATCAATAAAGTGTGACGCCCCCCATTTTGCAAAAGATGCCAAGTTGTTACACATTGGTGACATGAAGCAAAATAGCATGGAGGAAAACAGGGGAGAAACACAAAAAGCTACATGGATTGCTCAAGGAGAAGTATTATCTAGCTTGCATCATTAATTAGTGATGGTGATGTCACTATATTATGCGCATGCATATCTTCAAAGTTCAAAGCTTATTTCCTTTTTCCTGTGCTTTCTCCAAGTCATCATATCTTCACAAGAGAAATATTATCTAGCCTAAGTCTAGATCTGGCAATTCATGTATATGTGTTTGTTTATTTCATTTCAAACACGCGTAAAATATAAAAATTCCTGTATCAAATTCATGTGACTTGTCCAACACAACACTTTTTTTTTTGCCAAACCCATACATGATTTTTGCTAAAATTTTAAATAGTGATGCTTTCATTTTTTCGTAACGTTTTCATATCCTATCACATTTTCTTGTTTAAAATGGTCAGGCTGACCAGAGTCGTGCTTCTCATTTCTTAAACCCAGTGCTATCTTTTAAGAATCATCAATTAGTTTAACCAAAAATAACCAACACAACAATTGGCAAATCTTCTGAGAATGCAACTGAATTCACCTAAGATACTATAAAAAGAAATCCTCGCAACATTTTCGTATTAAATGATTCATTTTGGAGTAAAAGAAAAAATACATATAACTAAGGAACAAAGAAAGCTAAAATTTGAAAATAACTAATAAGTACCTGCATACTCACAGACGAATTGCCCCCGCTGAATCCATTGAGCAGCATATAAGCCCCATCCTTTTCTTACATCTCTTACAATCTTCAACTTAACTTGTATGCCTCTCTGGCTCAGTCGATTCCCACACTGCAACCCGCAGCCGCAACTCGGTCCGCATTCACTCATTATCCCCATCCCCTCGGACCACTCCAACTCCATGCACGGACATCCAATCACATTATCTTCACTCACCTTTTCACACCTCTCGCACTCACACCCCGACGCGTCCACCACACCCACCCAACTTGCTCCAAGTCGAGTCATCGAGTCATCAGCACAACCCATTTCAGCATCCGGCAAGCTCAACCCAGAAGGTACCTGACTCTGCGACGACTTGGGTCCCCAAGATTGGCGCTTTAAAGAAGGAAAAGAAGAAGAAGAGGAGGGGCTGATTTGAGAAAGGGTGTAGATGAAGTGGGCATAAGGGTATTGATCGACCGTGTTATGAAATGGGATGGGAAGGTTTTCAAACGATCTGGAAGCGTCGAGGGAGCGGTGGAGAGTTATGGAAAGGGAAAGTTGGTGAAGGGTTTTGCAGGTGAGGGAGATTGTAGCGAGTTCTTGAGGGGTTAGCCATGGAAGGACCAGGACTGCGCATTGAAAGAAAGGGTGGTTGAAGCCTCGGCTTCCTGGGTCTAGCTCGTTTTGATGGGATTTTTTGGGTGGTGGTGGCGACGGCGGCAACATGGAGAAGGATCTGGTTGGGTTTGGATTAGAAATTTAGAGCTGCTAGTTTCGAGACGAGCTTCTCATAAGACATGGCTACAATTGGATATAATGTCTTTTGACCTCAATTTCTTTTTCTTTTATTTGAACCCAAAAACAATCAATCTCAAAAATTTAAGGAGGAATTAAGAAAAGCAGGTTAAAAGGTCTTTCTATTTTGATTTAATTCAATATTCATTTAAGTCTTTAAAATTTTACTTATAAGAATAAAAACCCTTACTTTTTTATTTTAATTTACTTGGACTCTTAAATGAATTAAAATCTAAGCATATGATAAAATTTAATCAATCAATCTTTTAATTCTTAAAAGATCTTATTTCAAAAAAAAAATCTTAAAAGAGAAAAGAACAAAAAAATTTATTTTATTTATTATTTATATATATATATATATCTATCTATTGCATAATGTGACAAACTTTTATTTTGTTATTGATATCACATAAAAATTTATTTTAGTTAATAAAAATTAATGTATATAAATTTTTTTATTCAAATAAAATATAATTAGATGTAAATAAATATTAGAAGGATTGATTACTTATAATAAAAAGTTAAAACTTAAATGATTTTTAATTATATTTTAAGAGTTTTTATACTTTTTATAAAAAAAAATAATTCATTAAAAATATTTATTATTTGGTATCATAATAAAAAAATTTATATAAAAATTTATATATAAAATTTTAAAAAATAAAATTGTTTTTATGATATCATTATATCTATTATACCTCTATATATTTTTGTCTATAAACTATTTACCTTTATGACACATGTTCTTTTTGGATAAAAAAGATATTATATAATTTGTTATAGATGTTTGTGGCATTTTACAAACAAAGGCTAAAATTTAAACATATAACTATATAATTTTATCTATAGCTTTTAATCAGTGTAACACTTGTCTATTTTAGAATATAATTTTTTTTTTTTACTTTATCAATAATACTTTTGTATTTCCACGCACTAAAGATAAAGGTCATGAGTACTTTTATTTGCACCCCAACTTCTTTTTGATACACCTTAAAAATTATATTACAACTTTAACATTTAATTAAATTACTTAAATATTTATTAATTAATTACCTTTTTTATCTTTCACACTCCCTTCAAAAAATGAATTTTCGAAAACTTTTAAAAGTTTTCGAAAATGGATATTCTAAAACAAATGAAAGTTTTTATAGGTTTTCAAACATCTACTTTTAAAAATTTTGGATTTTTGAAAGTTCTTAAAAGCTTTTGGACATCTATTTTTTAAAACATTTAAAAATTTTTAAAAATTTATTTTCAGAAGTTTCGAATGATACTCAAACATTTCAAAATAAAATCTTATAAAATTAAACAAAAAAAAATAGAAATAACAAACTATTTACTTTTGATTTTATACTTTTTAACTTAAAATAGGTGAATTTTCTTTTGAATTTGGCTTGTTTCAACTTAAAATCTTTAAGATTTTTATCTGAAAAGAGAGAGAGAAGAGATGGGGTGTGAGAGAAAGAGAGATGGACTGTGTGGATTTTTTGGTAAATTTGTGTTTTGGATGTAAGATGTGTTGAATAAAAAATTAGGTGTTAAAAATAAAAGGTGTATTGAGTGATGTTAAAATGCAAATAACAACACTCAAAGGTCATAGCACATTGAAAAGATGCTAGATGTCTACTCAAAAATGGAAAGGAAACAAGAGAAAGAAAAGTCTACTTAATCTTATCTAAATCTTAGAAATATTATCTAAATAGTTTTAAAAGTTAATTTCTTCTCTATTGCCTCTGTTAATATATTTAAATTAATTGTTTTCTTTTTCATTTCTTGTCTTTCCTTTCTTTTTATGGCTTACTGATTTTTCAATTTTTTGGTTATTCATAATTTTTCATCTCTACTGTCATGGTTATTATGGTTCACTTAAAAAATAATTTTGATTCATAGGCTATTTTTTTATTTATTTTATTAGGTATTTTTAGAAATCAATATGAGATTTTTAGACATTAATAATTTAGAACCTATTATTCTACCTTTGATGCTTTGTGTCCTCAATTTTTAATTTTTTTCTTAATTTTTTCCCCTCAATTTTCTTTTTTTAAGATAAATAAAAAGTATATTGACTATATGATCTTTCATTATTTCATAGAGTTTTAACAGTGAAGAAACCCATATTCATTGGAAATAGAAGCAAGGATAATTGAATTCAAGGCAAAAATGAGAAGAAATTCATAAAACTAAGGACAAACCTTTTTCCATTCCCTTCGTTCCATTTACGCTACCACTCCTATCATTCTCAAGGTCTATCCTTTTCTTCCTCCTCTTTTAACTTTCAATTGTTTGTTAGAAATCTCAAATTTTTATTTTTGTTAATCTTTTTGGAGGTTTTTCTAAGTACAAATCATTTATTTATATGTAAGTTTCGTAGTCTTCACAAGTCTAATCCAAATACTTTTATTTATCTTCATAAATACATAATTTTAATATATATATATCATTTATGTGATGTTAAGTGACCAAAATATATTTGATTTGTTCTTCAAGGTTTTCCAATTCTTTACTTTTTCCTTATATTTCACCAATTGTAACAAGTTTATTTGAAAGTGTACTTAAAAATAGATGAATAGGGATAACAAATTAGAAATACAATTATATATTGAATGAATTAATGATTTTAGGGTAATAATACTAAACATTTTAAAAATTCCATGAAAAATAGCTTATAATAGAATGTAACAAATTTTTTGATTTTTTAATTGTTGGACTAAGGTAATTTATCTTTTAATTTTGCTCTATTACTCTTTATACTTTTTCCTTTACCCGTTTGTTCCAACCCCATTATTGTTTGAATGGTTTTAACCCAATATATTTGATTGGAGGAATTTAAAATAAGTTGTTATTATTTTGTGTTTCTAATCATAGCCATTCAAAAATAAGTTTTGTTGGTTAAGTTGAGTTTGATGAATTTTTTAAAGATAATATTTCACATCTTTTTTGTATTTTTTTTACTTTTTTTATTTGATTTTTGATGTATTTTTTAGAACAAATTGTTGTAGCTAAGGTTTGAATAAACTTTTCAACTTAAATTTTTAATCGCATATTTTCTTTATAGGTGCTTTCAATACAAGTTTTTTTTTTAAAAAAAAAAAAAATTCAAGAGTAGATAAGCTGTTTAGTCTCATAAATCAGGGTAAAATGTGCCATACTTGACAGCCTAAGATAGGTGCATTCAAGATAACTCCACAAATAGTCATCGTCAAAATTCAAACTCAATACCTTTTCATTGAGGAGAACGACCTTAACCGATTGAACTAACCACTTGTTGGTTTTAATACAAATTCAAATTTTATATTTTAAATGATGTAAATTTTAGGTTTAAGATATCTTTCTTGATATGAAATGTATCATTCGTAAAAGTAAATGGTTACATATGACTTAATTTGAGCCTTTATATTTTTACAGCTTTGTTATCATTTTATTTTAACTATTTTTATTCTATCTTAAGTGTATTAATAAAAAGTTTCAAAATATATATGTATATTTATGTGTGTATATATATAAGTATGCGAGAAAGGAGATGATAGAAAATTCATGAACATCTTTTACCAATAATTTTGACATTTGTAATAGCTTAACTAATGAAAAAAATTTTATGGCCAAATTGTTTAGATTTTGAGTTTATTAAGCATGCATTTTAGATTTTTGAATCTCATTTGCTTATCTCGAAATGGGTCTTATTTTATTTCTAATCAAACTTTTAAAATTTAGAAGTAACATGATTAAAAAATATATTATTTTATTGCTCTCCTTAAGTTTTTACATGAGGTTGATAATGTAAGCTAAAGGAGTCAAACAATTTTTGTTTCTTGGCTTTTTAATGATTGTAATTGCTCACAAATACATATATATTTATGTTAGTTTTAAAGCTTTTTTGTTATAAGTATGATAAAAAAGAAAAAATAAGTTATATATATATTTTTTAAACATATTTGTTTTAATTATATATCTAGATTCTAACTTTTGGTGTGAAAAAATTAATCAAGAAATAATGACTTATTTTCGTAACTTTTAATTTTTTAAATTAATGTTTCATGTACTCATTTTATCAAATAAATTTGATATTATAACTTTTATAATTGTAATTTAATTTGATAGCAGTCAAAGAATTAAAGAAAATTTCAATAGGAATCCACTTATTTAAATGTTCGAATGCTTAAAATATGGAAATTCAATATCTTTATTTTTTCTATACATTTTTTAAAAAAATTAATATTGTTTAAAAAATTAATAACATTACTAATTTTTAAATATGATCACATTGCATTTTTTTTTTCATTATTGGTTATGCTTTTACTATGTTCCTGCGTATGTGACACTTGTACTGTATTATAAAATAATTATATAATTAAATATTTAGACAAAAAATATTATACAGCTAAATGTAAAATATTTTATTTATGGGTAGAAAGGATAATCAATTATAATACTCATTGATAATTAAAAGCACAAAAATAATTTTCATTTTCTTATTAATTTTATATATTGATATTTGTTATTTTTTTATTAATTATTTCTAACAATAATAAAAATTTCTTTTAGACAACTTTTTTTTTTTTTTAATTTTGTCATTTAAAGTTTCCTTTGTTTCCAAAATCAGAGAGAGAGAGGCGGAAGAGGGCTGACGACGATGGCCTTCTTCCTCATTTTCTCCTTTTCGCTCTTCTTCCTTTCACATGCTTCTCAGGTGATCACCCACTTCAAAGGTATATTTTTCTTTTTCCTTATCGGATTTCAATCTTTTTTGTTCTGGATTATAGCATTTTTATTTGGTTGCTGAGAAAATGAGGGAAAAGGGGAAAAGGGATTAGCGAAATTTTTTTTTTTTTGCTTTTTTCTGAAATTTTTGTCTTTCCATCGGGCTGTTCTTCACTTTTTGGTTCGAAATCGAAATCTAATTCGTAATTGCTTCAATTTGTTTGTTTCCCAAGAAAATGTATGAAACATGAAGAAAATGGGCCTAGGGTTTAGAGTTTGATAAATTAAAACCCTCTTATAGCTGTGGGAGGATTTGAGTGTTTAATAAATGTTTGGATTGAACAATGAATGGATGGTTTGTATTAAATTTAATTTAGAAACTGAACCGCGAACCCTATGAATGTGTCTTTTAGTTATGCCTTATAGACAGTGTATAAAGCAATTTATGAATGGGGGTGGGGTTATCAGTCATGTCAGTAAGTTGATGAAAATTTATAATGTATTGCAGGCATTGACTTAGCAACAAGTCCAGCACTAGATGTCACCCCAACTCCCCTTTCTGGGCATTCATCCGTTCACGGTTCTAAAGATGTTTTGTTATGTGATCGAGTTCGAGTTTCTGGTCTGTCAAGATTGAAGCTTGGGAGTTATGCGAGTTCTTTTCGGGTTACTTTGGCCCCATCTGTTTTAATACCGGAAAGATTACACACCAAAATACAAGTTTGCTTTCATCGGCAAGTCTGACTCTCAATCTACTGTTGTTTCTGCTTTTCCTTTCTCTTTCCATCTTGCCTTGATTGAGCGCACTTCAAAAGTTTGTTCACTTTTTGGGCCTGATGGATAAAGTCTTGCAGGAATGCTTCACTTGGATTATGCAACTGTGAGAATGATGATTGGAAAGCAGTGCAAAAGGGTATATGGCATGCTGTCATGTCACCTTATGATGATAGGTTTATTGATGTGAAGTTTATTGGTGATGTGTCTGGCTCTGTTATGATTGCTGTTGAAGAGGGTATGATATCTGTTATTTGCCTTTCTTTTAAAAGAAAAAATATATATTTCTTTTTTGATGGTGATTGTTAGTTAGTTGAAATATAACTATACTTTTAACCTTGATTCCTTACTGTTTTTGCAGATTTACAGCAATGGCGGCTTGTGTTTCTTGCCTTAGGATTTGTTTTGTTGCTGTTGGCACCATTTGTCAGCAATTGGGTTCCTTTTTACTACAGCAGTTCAATGGCTATTGGCATTTTTCTTGTCATTATAATTATTCTCTTTCAGGTATTTTGACTTTGGTCCACAATTTCCTTTTGCCTTTGTTACTTTTCATCAAAACCTTCCTTCTTACTTTGGCTTATTTTTCCCAAATCTCAATGCTATCATATGTGTATATATATATATATCTTACAAAATTTGAAGTACTTTGTGTTACTCATTTAAATCACTGGAAGCTACTGATTTAAATTCCATAGATTTTAGAGAACATGGATCTGTATCGGTGTTCCATTTCTATTCAACTTTGTAGCTCAAAAATGTCAGTTTACTTCCTTACTTAGAGCTCATAAATTGAATTGCTTTAATGTTGGTTCCTATCTTCCTCATCAGATGCTTATTGGCTCACATACTATGATCGGATGACCTAGAAAACTACTAGTTATAGATTTCCCTAAAGATTTACTAATTTTAATTTATTTCAATGCCCATATTACTGTCTTAGCTTCAGCTTTTCAGTGGATGTATGGTTTTCTTTTCCAAGCAGGGAATGAAATTGTTGCCAACAGGAAGGAAAAATATCTTCTATCTCACTATATATGGATCAGTGGTAAGTCTTCTTTTCATTTATTGATTGATTGATTAATGTTTCATCTATTTTGTGCTGCCAATAAACTTATTATTCCCTATTAAAAAAAAATAACTTACTTTTCTGTTCAATTTTCAGCTTGGAGCTGGATCTTTTCTTTTACATCAATTCTCCATGTTGGTAAATTCAATTCTTGTCAATTTTGGGCTGAGTGAAGAGATGCATAAACTGGTAAGTCCTTAATACAGCTGATCAGTTCTCCATCTTTTCCTGCTCATTGCAGTTGATCTTGTCATGAGATGATATTTAATAGGGCTCCCTTCCTTATTATCCATAAAAGAAAATGGAGAAATAAATTACTTTATGATTTATTTGCATAAATTATTATTGTCTAATGACTTATTTGTAGTTATTATATTCTATTTTCCTTTAGAAAAATAGTGTAATTTCAAAGTGAATGAAGTTTTTTTTTTTTTGGTTACAGGTTGCTATATTTTTATTGGTTGGAATTCTACTCTCAGGAGCTGCATTGGGCTACTGGATTGTAAGAAAATTTGTGATCTCAAAAGATGGAAGTGTTGATGTTGGTGTTGCCCAGTTTGTAAAATGGGCCATGCGCATCATTGCTACTACATTTATTTTCCAGGTATGCTTCTTCTACTAATGGTGGCTGTATTACTTGATTTGCAACCTAGGCTATATAGCAAGTTTTTTCTTCTTTACTTGGAACGTCCATAAAAGCAGGAGGTAGCTTTTGAAAAGACCCATGAGAGGGCTGCTGTTAAATATGTCAAATACAGTAGATTGTTGGTTATACACCCAGCAATTGCTTGAGGAAGGATAAATTGATTTGATTGATCCCACTTTGAAAAGATCTCACTGTCTTTTTCTTTTAATAGGAACTCAAAAATTCCAAATTAGATTGTTGATTAGCTGGGTTTAGGTTTCAGGTTGGACACTTGATTTTGAGATGCACTTGGTATTCTGTGCCTCTATGACTTAGGCTTGCCTGCTTAGATGTGTTAAGATGTTTGTTATGGGCACCTTTTACTGCATCCACTGACTGAGCCATTTTCACCTGTTGCGACATCCAAAGTAAATGCACTTGCATGCCAACTGCTGGTTTAGCTGTGTCTCTTATATAGATTAATAACTTAAGAGTGAAGGGTTATTGATGTTTCAGCTGTTACTGAAGCAAAATAGTCCATTATAAAAATTATATTATTGAGGAATTATATTTATGAAGCTGAGGAGGAGGACAATAGTAATTTCTTTTAATCTGAGGAGTAGTGATATCATATGTTTTTTTTTTCCTGTCTTGCCCTTAATCTTCTACACTTTCCAGAGCACTTTTGATGCTCAGCTGGCAATGGTGGCATTGGGGTCTTCTTCTGCTATCTGCTCTCTTATCACTTCAGCAAAAAGGAATGGTCATATGTAAGTTTAATAGAGCTCCCTTTGGTTCCTTTTTCGTGTTTATGATGTATATGTCTCTGCTGGAAGACCGATGATCTTGTTAGTCTATGTTGGTTGTCTTTCCTGTGCACTATTATGTTAAGTTTGTTCATTGTAATTAATAGTCATACCAATATATTGAGACTGCCCCTGAGTTCATTTGGATATCCTTTAATACATTCACATAATGGGTGGTGCAATGCTAGCTGGTTTTAATACACTCGCAAGTCACTTTATTTAGATATACCATAATCAACTCAACTTTGTCTAATTGACTGCTAAATTCAACAAATGGCTGTAAATCTCTGTTTTCTTTTGTAGCCATGATTTATTTTAACCACGAATTTTGCTCATGTAGGCAACAACCACATTCTGCGGATGAGAGTCCTTGGCTGCACCAGTCGAGGCAGGGAACAATGAAGCATGGTCATGCTGAATTTTTTAGGTCTCCGAGAATGTATTCTAATAGGAGGATGTGGAATAGTCCAATGTCCGCACCAGCATGGACTAACTCTCCTGTTAAAGGTATTTTAAATTAGCACATTCTTCTTGGGGCTGAATTTTTTTCTTTCCTGCTTCGGCTAATATTATTGATGAATTTGTTTCCTTTTAACGTTGCAGGTGTGGTTTTATCACCTCTTGATGAAGGTGCCTTATATCATCAAGATTACTATTCAACCTTTCACAAGACACGTAATCGAAAGAAATTCACAAAGCAAGAATGGCAAGATTTCAGTCGGGAGTCCACTCGGCATGCCATGGCAGAATTAGCAGCATCTCCAGAATTCACCAGTTGGATGATTGAGAATGCTTACAGGATAAAACTCCTTCCATGTGATAGTTCAGATGAATCGATAGGAAGCAAAACAAGTTCAACAGACAATGGCGATGATGAAGAGGGAAGCTCCAGCCGATTCAGATTATTCAAACGGTAGCAGTTGAGTAGAACACGATGTTAACTACTGTACCACTTACATGTAAAGTTACGGTAGGAAATATAGCCCCAGATTTAGGAATGATTACTGTTTCTTTCACCAGTAAATTGGTTGCCTCGTGTTAATTTTTTTGAAAAATTTTCTAACCATTTGACGGCTGTACAAAACCCTCTTCTGAGTTAGGTTTTTTTTTTTTTTTTTAAAAGAATGTATGCAGCGACCAGAGGTAATAAATTTAGAGTCCAAATCTGTAAATTTTTTGATTCACAAATTACAAATCCTTTTATATAAAATAAAAAAGTGATTTTAATATTATAATGTTATGATATATGGAGTACATTTTTTCCACATTTGGGTGGTGTTGATCTCGTTTTACTATTTGCTATTGTATGATAGGAAATAAATTATTATTTTCGTAAACTTCATATCATTTTCAAAATTACAACTTTAAATTTAGCTTATTAGTGTTTCAATTTGATATTAAAATATTTTTAAAAAAATTTACATAATTGTTATATAAAGTTTATATTATAATATATTTATACAAAGTTATCCAGAAAAACAATAAAAGTTTGAGAGATTAAATTCGACTTGTGTGATGATTTTGGCCATGGGACTGATTGATACGGCTGATAATCAAGAAATATCAATGATAATGAATAAATTTTCAGCTCCTGTAGTATAAATTGGGTTGGCCATACTCGTTGACTTTAAGGAGACAACATGTCATCTCATCTCACTATTCATAAAAGACAAAAAGGTGTGGGTGGCTACTGCCCAATCCAATATATATAATTATGGAAAAAGTATATGATCCTGCCCGACCAATAGATAAAAGGGGTCTCAAATGAGATTTCATCTTTCTTGTTTTCTTAGGTGACCATACGTAAACACAATAATTTTAGATATGATAATTTTCGATAGGATATAAAAATATAATATAAAAATAATATAAAAAATTATATATATGTTTTAAAAAATATATTTTGTATTTATTTATATCAATATAAATTTTAATATGATATAATTTATATTATATGTATTAATTTATCTAAACATATAACACAATATAAATAATACATTTAATTTAATTTTGTTATATAAATATACGTTTAATATATTTATTATATTTATTTAAATTTAATATAAATATATAAAAATTATTTTAATTTTAAATTTTTAATTATAATACTTAATTAACTATTTAATAACATATAAAATTTATTTTAAACATTTAATTATGATACACATTTAATAATTATTATAAAATTATTTTTTATATTAATAATATAAATATAATATTAATATTAATCCTATATATTATTATTAAAATTAAAATTAAAAATTTTTTATTAAATTTTATAAAAATCAGTATATAATAAATATTTTAAAACGAACTGAATAACTTATTTGGATTGGCCCCTTTAGGATTATGATCCAGAATCTAAACATAAAAGGCAATTCACGTTGAGCTCAATTATTCTTATAAAACTCCTATGCTACTGCCAATAATTGAATTCATTTGTCAGTTGTCACTGATTCACAGGCTATTTGTCAACTATAAAATCATTTCCTTAAAAAGAAAGCTGTCAAAGTTATCTAAGGCTTATTGGTTCAACTTTACGTTTGGAGAAACGGTGTGATGCTGACTTCCATTTCCAGCCAACCCCACAACATAGTTCTAGAACGCGACTTCTTCAATCTTTTCTCATTGCGCTCATCCAAACAGGGTTTTAGCTTTGCAAGTTAAAACTCCCAAACATTAAATGCTAGACTATTATTAATTAATATATTATTAGAGTTGATATTTAAAAATTTAAAATATATTTTTAATTAAATAAATATTAAAATAAAAAAGTTTAAAGATAATTTAAGAATTTTAAAAAATTGTTTTTCAATTAAAAATCCAAAATTTTATTTTTTTCTAATTCAAGCATGTTTATAATGATAGCAAATGCCTAATTACATGCATTATTTTATTAAATAAATAAAATATAATTAAGAATAAATATTTTTTGAATCATGACCATCAAATTTGATGATTAACTAAATTAGTTGATTGAAAAAAAAATAATGAATCTAAAATATTGAAAGATTGAGACTCTACTATTAAAAAAAATTAAAAAAATAATAAAAAATAAAACTTTTATAAATCATTAAAATAAAATATTGAAATTTTGTATCTCTATTTTGTATGATGCACCAGAATTGAGGTTTTGTTTAAAAATTAGATTCCAAAAGTCAATCATTCCCGGGCAGCCCAACGATTGGTTGATTCTTTAGCAACGGGCAACGCTCAGTTTCATTTCCTTTAAAACCCAAAAAATTTCAGTTTCTTTAAACAAAATTTGTTTTTTCTCTCTTGCAAAATCTGCCGGCTTTGATTCCCTTTTAAGAACAACAAAAGTTGAACCAAATTATATTGAAAGGGTTTAGGGGGCAGATTTTAATGTTAATAAGGTTTTATTTTTTTAGTTTACTGTACGTAAATTTTTAGCATTTCTTTTATTTTTTTTTTGTCAAAAGCTAAGTTTGTAAATTACTATTAATTCTATAATTTTGTAGTTAGTTATTTGGAGAAAGTTGATAAAGTTGGGTGAAATTCTCGATGAGGTTTTTGGTTAATTGCCAAAAAGGAGGTTCGGGTGCTTCATGGGGTGGTTTAACGAGTTTGGTAAGAAGAAAACAGGTAGATTCTGCTCATTCCAAGCGTTTGGGTCATCATCAGTTGGCTAAAGAGTTGACTGTTCCTCATCTCATAGCAATTGGTAATATTTTGTGGTTTTTAAATTTTTTTGGTGTATTTTTTTATTTTTTTATCTTGGTTTGTTTTTTTAGCTTTTTTTGGGAAATTGACACTGGTTTTGAGTTTTTAGCTTCTATTTAGTTGGTTTTTTTTTTTTTTTTCAGCTTTTTTTGGGAAAATTTTGATAGTTGTTTTTGGGAGAGGTGGGGGATTTGATACTGAACATGTGTTCTTTATCTCTTTTTTTTTTTTTTTTCCCTTGGTTTTGGGTTGTTTAGCTTTTTTATGGAAAAAGTTGATGATCTTTTTTTTTTTGTTTGTTTTTAGCTGTTTCTTATCTTATTGCAATCTGTATATGTGATTATTTGTTGTGTTCTTAGTTCTTTTGGGGGAAATTTTGATTCAGGTTTTGTGTTTTTGGCAGTTTTATGCTGATTTTTCAGGTGTTTTTGATGATAGTTTGAATCGTTATTCCCACTTTTGTTGCAAATTAATGGTCTCTTTTACTTATATCCTTTTATGGATATATTTGATGGGTTGGGTTATTCTTATTTTGAAGTTATGTTTGGTTTGATTTTGTTTATTCTAACTAAGGTTGGCATATGTTTATTCTTTTTACTTTTAAGATTATGGTTTCATTGCTTTTAATTTTTTGATATCTACGGTGGATAGCTTATTGTGAATCTTGGTGCACTGTGATTAGGTGTTGGATCAACAATTGGAGCTGGAGTCTATATTCTTGTTGGAACAGTTGCTAGAGAGCATTCTGGTCCAGCTCTCACCATTTCATTTCTAATTGCTGGCATTGCTGCTGCTCTCTCTGCGTTTTGCTATGCGGAGCTTGCAAGTCGTTGCCCATCTGCTGGCAGTGCCTATCATTATTCATACATTTGTGTTGGTGAAGGGTAATTTCTAGTTCTCTTGATTTATGTTGTACATTTCTAACTGTTGTTGTTCTTTGTTCTTGCAATTTGAAAAGTCAGACAGTAGGATTTAGCTTTAGTAATAGTTAATTGTTCCATTTGGTAAAAGAATAAAAAGTGGCTGTAATCGCACAATCCTTTTTCTTTCTTGCTTCTTGAAGATTTATAATTTTTTCATGCACTGATGCAAGCAATATCATTTTGTAGCATTGCCTGGTTAATTGGTTGGGCTCTGATACTTGAGTATACAATTGGTGGTGCAACAGTTGCTCGAGGCATTTCACCTAATCTGGTTTAGTGAATTTTCTTACTCAAGAATACATTGCTTTCTTTTCTTTTTGGCTGGATTGATTGGGGGTGGGAGGGGGGGACCATGGTGCTTGAGAGTTGTGATTGTGGGAGCTGCCTTCTTTTATTTGCTATTTACATTGCACTCTTACGTTTTTTCTTTTCATTTCTGCATCTAGGCTTTGCTTTTTGGAGGTGAAAATAGTCTACCAAATTTTCTAGCTCGCCAACATATTCCCGGGCTTGATATTGTGGTGGACCCATGTGCTTCAATTCTAGTTTTCATTGTGACTGGGCTCTTGTGCGTGGGAATCAAGGAGGTGCTTTCCATCTCTTTTTCTTTTCAGGTCCTTTTCTTTGTGTGGGTGTGGGTGATGACCCCTTTGCAACCTTAAATTTACTCTCTGCTCCTCTCATGCAGAGTACATTTGCACAAGCCATTGTCACCACCGCAAATGTATGTGCCATGATTTTCGTGATAGTAGCTGGTGGTTATCTGGGTTTCAAGACTGGGTGGACTGGATATGAACTTCCTACTGGGTAATTGGCATTTCTTGCTTTATTTCCATGCCAGTCTGATGTTTTCAGAAATTGTTATTTAACTTATTTATCCAATAGGTATTTTCCCTTTGGGGTCGATGGAATGCTTGCTGGGTCTGCAACAGTCTTCTTTGCTTATATTGGTTTTGATTCAGTTGCCAGCACTGCTGAGGAGGTATATGGTTTCTTTTCTTATAGTAGTTTTCCCTTTTTTTAAAGTTTTTTCTGGTGATCTAAGAATTTGAAATCATGTATATCAGGTGAAGAATCCCCAACGAGATTTGCCGCTGGGTATTGCAACAGCCCTCTCCATTTGTTGTGGGTTATACATGCTGGTTTCTGTCGTGATTGTCGGTTTGGTCCCCTATTATGCAATGGATCCCGACACCCCCATCTCTTCTGCATTTGCTAGCCATGGGATGCAATGGGCAGCGTGAGTATTCATTGTGCATTCAAAGTGTCAATTTCTTTATTTTTTGTTTTCTGAAACATTTTTACATGAGGAACCTTCCCTTCCCATTTTTGTGCTTTCAGTTATGTAATAACCATTGGAGCTGTTACTGCTCTTTGCTCAACATTGATGGGATCAATCCTCCCTCAGGTAAAAGTCAAGTTTTCAGTGGTACAACTGTGAAATTGTTTGGCGTTCTGTAAATATTTCATCAATATGATGTTAATTGTCCACATTTATTTTCCACATTACTGTTCTATCATTTATTTCCATCAAATGATTGTCTCAAATTATAATTCTTGTAATCATGCTAATTGCAGAGCTAAACATAATCCAGGATGAAAAGTACAAAGGGGATATTCAATTCAATCTTACATCAAATATTTACTAACTCTACACATCCCTTTCAACTATTATAGCATTTGCATTCAATTATGATATCTTAATACTGATATAGACTTGTGATTGCATATATATATATATATATTAATGTAATGATATGTATCAACTTTTAATTATTACTTCTAAAGATTCACTAGCGTGTTGTCAGAACTTCAGCCTACTCACTTTTTATCTTAATCCGTAAATTATAAAATGCTAGCTTCTAAATCTGCATGATTGGTCATAGATCTTAAAATTTTTTTAGAGCATTTAATTATTTAATGTTAACGTCCTAATTGTGTGTTTTCAGCCTCGAATTCTTATGGCAATGGCCAGAGATGGATTGTTGCCTTCTCTTTTTTCAGATGTTAATAAACGCACCCAAGTTCCTGTCAAGAGCACATTAGCAACTGGTATAGTTGCTGCTACCTTGTCGTTCTTCATGGATGTTTCACAATTGGCAGGGATGGTAAGTAGGACTGGGCATTTCTTGCAATTGGGATCGGATTTTTTTTCCTTTTTGGGGCCTCATGGTGTAGATCACGTTTTTATCATACCAATTTGAATGTTCTTTTAAACATGCTGCTGTTTGTGCTATGCTTGTAGTTTACTAGGTCTTGAGTGCATTCGGTTGCTGTGGTGAATGGTGACCCATTCTTAGTTAAAAGGAAAATAAAAAGAACTTTATAACCATATAATGATATGTCTTTAATTTTTGCCATAATCCATTTGATGATTTACAGTTGACCTAATTTCTTTTCTGATTTTTCATTCCCAGCTTAAAAGGCTGCACTTTTGTAGTAGTTTTCCTTTTTAAAATAGATCTTTCCTTTATCATAAAAATGAATGTCACATGGTTTTCACAAACTAGGCTCCTATGGCTCGAGTATCTAGTTTAATTACAAGCCCTTGGGTGCATATGCCTACGATATGGAGCTCCTAAGAGTTGCCTTCCTTTTGCAGGTCAGCGTGGGGACACTTCTTGCGTTTACTATGGTAGCAATTTCTGTGCTGATACTTAGATATGTCCCTCCAGATGAGGTGCCACTTCCTTCATCACTTCAGGAGTCAATTGATTCTGTCACACTAAGATATGGTAGGGATACTCAGGTGATTAGTGGGGAAAACCCTGCAATGAGTACTTCTGGAGATAGTTCTCGACCTTTGCTTGGCAACAAGAATGTAGCAGTTAATCGTCCAGTTGTTGAAAAACAAGAAGCTCAAGCCACCTGTAAGTTCCTTCTGTAAGCAATGTGCTTGAAGGTTTTGTCCTTGTAATGTAATAGAAAATTTTGGAATTTCTAATCAAGGTGTATGATATGAAATGCTTTTCTCTGGGTTGGACATTATTACCATGGAGTTTGTTGTTCCAAACTCAAATCTATGGGTGAGGTCAGGGGTCAGTCTGTCACCTGTCCACCCTGGAATCTCTTTAGCATTCATTTTTTCGACAAAGCTTTCCATTATCTGGTACTTTCCTGAAGTCTTTATTATTGCCTGTGTAATGATTATTGCAGGTACTCTCAATGAAGAGAACAGGCGAAAAATTGCTCGTTGGACCATAATGTTAACATGTGTTGGTGCATTTGGCCTTACATTTGCAGCTTCAAATTTGTGGCTTCCGAGGTAGGCTGATCATGTCTGTTTTGTCAAACTACTTTGGTCTTTATTTTTTTTTCAGGATAGAATGGAGGGTGGAGGCAATTTATTATTCTTAACCATTGTTAAGCTTTTCATTGTCATAAGTTCTGGAAAGAGGGTGGGGAGCTTTGCTGATGCAGGATGAAAGATGGAGATATTTATCTCCAAAAAACAAAAAAGGACAAAAGAGGGAATTGGAGAAGAAATTTATGGTGCTCAGGTGTTATACATTGATATGGATGAAGAGAGAGAATTGAAATCCATTTTTCAGTGTGTGGTGGGAGGACATGTATTATGTCCACTATTTGAACTTCATTATTATAGTGCTTGAAAAGAAAAGGGAAAGGGTTCTATTTTGTTCTTTTGGTTTGATGGTTGTTGGTATCTTCCTCTAGCCTTCTTCGGTACGCGTTATGTGGAGCTGGTGGTCTGCTTCTTCTGTCTGGTTTGATTGTGCTCACCATTATAGATCAAGATGATGCAAGGCATAACTTTGGACATACAGGAGGTATGCTTTCAGCATTCTTAGTTCAAGTCTTGGCTGCTTGCCATCTCATATTCAACATCTTCATGATTTTCATCAATTTATGCATGGTTAATTTATATATTCAGGTTTCATATGCCCTTTTGTTCCACTCCTACCAATTGCCTGCATTCTCATCAACATCTACCTGCTTATTAATTTAGGGTAAGTGTTAAATTGCTGTATTCTTCTTTATAACAACTTTGCTACCATCAAATGGCTACTCAATTTTTACATCCTTCTCTCATAATATGTTCTTTGCAATTGTCAGGGCTGACACCTGGGCTCGGGTTTCAATATGGCTTGCTATAGGGGTCCTTGTTTACGCATTCTATGGTCGTACGCACAGCTCACTGCTGGATGCAGTCTATGTGAGGGCAGTTCACGCGGGTGAAATTTATCGCTCCTCTGGAGACTCTTTGGCTTAATTTCAAAATGAAAGAAAATGTTCTCTTGAAAGAAAAAGAAACAAATACAGGTAAAAATGTGGACTATCTAAGCACCGATGCTAGTTGGTCGTAGTTTTGGAGAAGAATCTCAATGTTATATGCTTGTAATTTTTGTTTTCTATCCCTAATTACTGTATTTGTAACATGTTGTGGCAGGACTGGTTGATCTTAAGTCAGTCGTTTGTATAGCACATATTTCAACTGGCTTGCAAAACTCATGTATAAAAATGTAAATGTAAATGGTAGGAATTAGCTTCTTAGGCCCTCTAGTGCTCTTTAGTTTAGAAAGAGTTTAAAGATGCAAACATCAAATAGGTCAAATTATGATATCAGTCCATATATTACCCAAATTAATTTCAATAATTAAGATTTAAATCTGAGCAATCTTAAATATAAAAAATATATTATTTTATAAAATAAATTTTCCAATATTGAAAAAATATGAATCATAAATTCAGAACATTTTAATTATTTGTTAATTTTAACAACATTTTAAACCTTAATTAAAAAAATTAAAAAAAAAAAACCCTTATGTTAGATTTTTTAGTCGAGAAAGAGAGTATAATATTTGAATTCTTCTTCTTTTTTTTCTGCCAATACAAATCCAATCATAAAACTCACCTTTTAAATTCAGGAAATTAATTTTACAATTTTACTTCATCTTACATTCAGTTTCTGCAGTGCTAGGAGTCAACTACCAAAGTCAAGTAAGCATCAACCCAGGTACTGTTGGCGAAGAAAGACGCCAGGTGCCGATCATCGGGGAAAAAAGAAGAGATGAAATTCTCAAATCAAATGATGGATAAAAACTAATGTTCATTTCAATTCCCAATCCTTCAACTTCTTGCTTCCTTTTGGTTTGGCTATAGGTGCATTCACAGCTGCCATTTTTGCATTGTATTTTGCCCGAAGCGGATCATTGTATGTCCATCTGCACAAATGCCAAACAATTAAAGTCAAGGTTTGTCAAAAATATAATTGTCTTTATCTTTTTAGTGGTTATGCAGAAGTGTGATATCAGCCATAGCAAATGTTCATCAGAGAAAATATCTTTAGGGTTCAAATCCCACACACATCCAATGAGGACCTTTCAGAGATTATGCTCTTCAAACAAAAGATTTAATTGATAAGAAGCACATTCATTATCTACCCACTACCTGCCTCCAGACTTAATTATACCATTCAACTTACGGCATGCTGAGTCAGTTTAGATGATCACGACAGAAACTAAGATAATTTAATCCATGCATGTTCACTAATATCACACAAAATGTGGCAATTTAATGCAAGAAGTGTCCATTAATATGGAGTACTGAAATTGGAACTCAAAAGAAGACAATGATATGCTTCTAGGAAATCATGTGCACACAAGAAATCCAGAATGACTCATACTAGAAATGAATAATTAGAATAAAACAAATCAGCAAACAGAAGTTCCATCAAAGTTTCTTTGCCTCAGTAGAAACAAGCTTTAGTTACTAATAGTTAGCGTTTCATCCTTCAAGTCATACATTATATTTATTGATATTATTCACACTAAGTGTCTTCTGCAGTTGATTTCAACAAATTATAAGCCACTGAAGATAGAAGATAACTAATAAAGAAGTATATAACAGTGAAAAGAGCTTAGAGAACATACGGATTGTTCCAATCAGTTGTATCCTCATTGACAAGATGCGTCCATTTGGTTCTTCCGCTACGACCAAAATGCTTGACCTGCATGACCTTAGGCAATATTGTCTTGTTCATCTTGTCTTCACCTGTTGGGGCAGAGAAATCACGATAATAAATATTGTCTCCTCCAGCAGTTGCTGCAGGATCATCAGCTTCCGTCTGGTAGAAAACACCCTTGTGGTAATATTTCTGCATAAACTTCCATTTTTGTTTAGGCGGTGGAGCAGGTTTCGGATTCTTCCTCTCCCATTCTCGCCTCTCTTCCTCGGTCATATTCCTAACTTTCTCAATCTCCTCCCTCTGCTTTATCATTGCTTCCCTTTCCTCTCTATCCCTCTTGATCCTAGCAATCTCTCTCGCCTTCCAGGCTTCATACTCCTCTGCCTCATTGACCTCATCATCGGTATCGACATCAGCTACATTAGCCTCCAACTCCATATTCTTCTGAATTTCAGTATCCTCCCTAATCTTCTCAACCACAATTTGCCTTGTCTCAATCTTCCTATGTTCCAGCTTCCTCTTCTCCGCCTCCTCAATAGCCCGCTCTTCTGCCTCCAACCGTTTACGCTCAGCTATTGTTTCTCTCTCTGACTTTGGCACAAAAATCGCCTTCATCATCGGAATACCTGTATGTTCCTCTTCTGAATCTGTCTCATACTCCGACTCTTCCTCCTCTTCTTCCTCCGCTTCCTCTTCCTCCTCCTCTTCCAACAATGGCGTTTCCTCTTGTTTCTTCTGAAGCATCTTCTCCTTAATCCTTCTCCTCCTCTCATCCAACGCGTCCTCATCTTCTTCCTCAGCCTCGACCCCTTCATTCCTCCTATTCTCCTCCTCTTCAGTCGACACAATCTCAGCTTGCCTAATGCGCCTATGATCAGCCCTAATTTCATCCCTATTATCAATCCGACTCTCAGCCAAACGGCGTAACCTAGGATCATCTTTTCTAACAATGCCCGAATCGTCGTGACTAGGAAAAGCTTTTTCTAAAGCAACAGCCCTAGCCATCCTAATATCGTCATCTTCATCGGCATCATCAGCCCATTCAGGAGCTTTCCCAGGCCAATATCTTTTAACTTTGGTTTGCCCAATTTTGCCTCTAAGTTTATCCCTAATGGCTATTACAGTATCACTAACACCTGCCGTGACCGACATTGTTCCTTCCTCTTCGTTCTGGTTTTCCTGCGGTTTCTCAGTAACCAAACAGCAAACTGGAGATGAAAATGGGGAAGTAATCAAACAAAACAGTAGAAAAAGCACAACACGTCAGAAATTAATGATCGAAACCCTAAACTGGAATTACCTGAAGGCGAACTTTTTTCCAAGAGAAATGGATTCGAAATATATATGACAAATATTAATAGTGTCACCGGTGATATTAAAAAATATATATATAATTATCAACAAGTAATTTGTTTAATTGATTAAGATTTATATTTTTTTAACGAAAAAATTTTGAATTTAAATTTTATTGATGATCATTTATTAAAATTATTTTAAATGTACGACTTATAATCACTTAATTTAAGTTGTGAAATATGATATGTCTTATTTTATATGAAAAATTAAATAATTTATTTAATTTCAAATTTTTCTTAAAAAAAATATATAATTAATATGAGTTTTAGTTTTAGATAAGTTGAGTATGGTATTAATTATATTTTTTAAAATTTATGCTGATAATATTTTTAATAAATATAAAAATAAAAAATTTAAAGATAAATAAAATTTTTAAAAAATATATATTAATAAAAAATTACATTAGAATAAAAATTACTACATTTATAAAAATAAGAGGTCAAATTACATGGACTCGATTTTGTGAGTTACATGAAACCTTAATTTAGCTTCATTATAATCACATATTATCAACTCATAACAAATAAATAAATATTACTTTAGATATTTTAAACAGATAAGGCTGACTTTTTTTTTTTCATAAAAATTTACTAGACTCTAGATTGATTTTACTATTTACAACCTAATCCAAAAAAATAAATTATATTTTTTATTCTCTGCTTGCAAATAAATAGGAAACTAAAATTAGAATTGACAATAAGTCGAGTTGAGACGAGTTTTTATTTATCCTAAATTTGACCCGACTCAAAATTTTTTTATTTTTTTTATTTGAATTCGATCCGATATTATATAAATCGTGTCCGATCCGTCTCGATTCAAAATTAATAAAATATTTTTTTAAAATATAAATATTAAATATATTATTATATAAATATATATAAATAAAAAATGAAATAATTAATTAAAAAATTATTTTTATATAATATCGAGTCGGGTCAAGTTTATCTAAAACCCAAATTTGACCTGACCGACATCAATTTTTTTTTTAATGTTACTCGATCCGATGCGAAACTTAACTTTTTTTTTTTTAAAAAAATAATTTTATAAAATTAGATTGGATCGAAATATGTCGGGAGAGGGTTGGGTTACCTACTCTAACTAAAACTCCAAAATTTATCATGTGTTGAAGTAATTTGAAAACAAAATGAAAAAAAAAAAAGTCTATACTTATTCTCTTTCTCTAATTAACATAAAAACTCCAAATGTTAAAGTATGGAGCCATTTTCCACGTATTAACTATTTCTAAATATGTTTAATTTTTATTTATTTATTAAGTTTAACAAATGATTTTAAATAATATTTTTAAATTTATTTATTAAATAAACTAAATACGAATAAAAATTTATGTGATTCATTATATTTGTGAGTAAATTTATTTAAAACTCGCTTATTTATTATTTATTTATAATAATATTAATAAAATTATATTTTTATCTTTTATCTTAATCATATTTTTAAATTTATTTATATTCGTTTAAGGTTTATTTGTTTAAATTTATTTGATTATGATTTGTTTATTATTCATAAATATATTTATTTATATATGTTCGTAAATATATTTGTTTAATATTCATGAACGAGCTCGTTTAACTTAATTGAACTGAACATAAATAATTTATTATTTGAATAAATGATTAAAATAATTTTTTTATCGAATACGAACCGAACTTTTAAAAATAAATGAACAAATTACAAACATATATTTGTTCATTTATATTTGATTCATTTACAGCCCTAAACATCCAATTTTATCATGAAAGTAGAAAAAAAAAAAGAGAAGTTCTAAATCCATATATTGTGTGGCCACCAAGAAAACACTAAACATGGCTTATAATATCTTGGCAATAATACGTTACATGTAAACAAAATTAAGTTCATGAAGAAGAAGAAAAAAAAAAAACTGAAAAGAAGGTAATTAAAGACTAAAGGTCATATGCAATTATGGTAGTGTAGAAGAGATATAAAAGGTAAGATTTAAGGTCTTGCTCATTTAGCCATTGCAAGAATGCTAACAGATCATTCATATTTCATGAACAAAATGACAAGCTGACTAAACGAAGAGCTGGAAACTTATAACCAGAGTTTGCAAATTGGCGATCGAAAGGGAAGGATGCTGGTTTGCTCTTCAACCAAATGTTGCAGTCAGGAAAGCCTTGTAAATGCTCATGAACTTGGTAACAAATGCTACTAAATTAATCAGAAAAACAAGACATGAATGAAATTGATTAGCAAAAACTACATTGCAAAGCACATTGTCGAGCAATATGTCAGGAGAGAAACATTATGTCATGCAATTGAAATATGTTAGTTAGGTAGCCAACCCTGTCTACCAAATATTGACATCCTGATCTCTAAGATATTGGATGAAAATAGGCTCAATCATTTTACTTTTATAATTTAACCAAATCACATAATTTTTAGAGGTAAATCGCGAAAGACGTGAATGTAAATAATAAAAAATGATATGAAAGTTAAAAGAAATAAATAAAAATATTTTTTTTTATAAAAATGAGTGATGTAAAAAAATTTAAAATTACAATTTAATATGATTATTTTTTTGACATTTCGTACAACCGACCCTAAAGTTATAATATATAAAGTTTAATCTGATATTGTTGTTGTGGCCGAATCACTTAATTTCCAAGCTTAGGCACAATGGAATAAACAATATCACTACTACAAGCGTGTGAGAATCCACATTCTAAGCATATGTTAAAACTTACATTGGAATATAAAAATAGGTCATTTATCAATGAAAGAAAGTCAGAATTAATTCCGACTACTCGGGATTAATAGATGATCATTAGCTCAAGAAACTTTTAACAGTTTGCTGTGTGTTGGCGATGGCCACTTACCAATGTAGACCTTTGGTACATAAGAGTATGTTAGCCTCAACTGAATCTCATTTTATACCCACCCTCAGTTTAATGATCACGGACCACTTAGATAATATTCATTTGTAGGAAAATGGAGGGTTTATGTAAATCTAAACATATTTCCTCTGATTCATGAGCATTTCCCCCACTTCCAAGGACAATTATATGATATCATATTGAAGAAGAGATGACTCAATCCCAAAACAAAAGGAGCAACAACCATTATTAAAGCATATGAGATAGGATAGATTATTGAACTTGCATAATATGCAGCCCAATGGCACATCTCATGCTTTAGCTCTGCACCGATTTCTTCAATAATTCATGAAGAAGCCACTGAGACAGCAAGGAAAATAAACTTTAATTTGAGAAAGAGATCAAACACCTTCGCTTGAACCTGAAATAGCCTAAAGCACACAGATAAAGGTTTAATAAGAAAGTTTTAAGCTGGATACTAGAAAAGATATCACAACAGACATTTTACGTCCCAATTCACTTCAAGTCATCCTACCCATACATGTTTCCTATAGGAACTTCGGCATAAGTAATTAACTAACTCGTTACCAAATATGTATTGAGAAGAATTATGTAATTGTTGCAGTGATTTTACTAAAAGAACAGTAAGATAGTGTTAGATGCTGCAGTGGAAACCTTTTAGGGCTCTGCTCCTTCATTATGTCAGTTGCTACCTCAGATACATATTCCTCCCAATCCATTGGCGGAATTGCTTGGTTGGTTGTGAGGGGGTTCCTTTATCAGGAATACGGTACAAAAACACATATGTAAGGAAGTTTCCTGCAATGATTTGCATGACCACTGTATTGTTGATCCGTAAAAGATATCACCGAGCTTAACTGTTGAACATGGCATGTCTCAAATGACAATATAGCTCTCCTTGAACTCTAATTTGACTTTTCTGGAATGATGGCTGCAAAACCAGATAGAAGTTGTAGCGCTCCTTTCTTTCCAATGAACTCCAACACCTCAATGATCTGGCATAGAGAAGTTTACAGAAATAAATTTCAATTAATCAATGAAAAGCCAGACAGAGAGAGAGCAAAGATTCTTCATGGAAAATAAAATGCATATAAACATCATATTTCTTTTGGTGACAACCCATTACAAGGGTTGGCGGACAAAGAGTTAGAGGAACGTTCCTCAGAATTTATCCAAGCATCTTTCAAATATTAATCGAAAATAGTGAACATTCCCAACCTGTTCTTCTGAAGGTTAATTTATTCGGATATTCAGACAACGAGACTGAATCGCCTCAGTGACTTTTGAAGAACTATTGCAGCACATAATTAGACGACCAGAAGTACTGTACTTCTCCATTGTTCTACTGAGAGACACAAACTGAACTTATATGCAATTACTTTCTAAAGAGAGACATAAGAAACATCAAGAAGAATACCAAATAGACATAATAAACACAAAGGACAAGGCCAATGAATGTTAAATCCAGAAAACTGGTTTGGCTCAAGTGTATGTTACTGTGATTAGAACTTTAGGTTAAAACTGAAATATTTGTAATTCTTTAAATGTGCATATAGTATAGCTTGGTACCATTTGTATAGTCCATAAATGTTTGTATTTTTTTTTTATCTCTTTTTAGCTTTTTGGATAAATAAAATCTTGATTTCAACACTTAGCATGGTCTTTTTACTTCAGAATGACAAGATTAATAATAAAATAAATACAACTTTTATAAAATATATAAAAATCCAAATTTCATTTAGCAAATAATTCTTTGTTGTTTTAACCAACCCGAGACCCGACCCATATAGAAAGAATGGAAGAACTCTTACTTCCTTTCCCACCAAACATCGTTAACAACGAGAGGCGCACAAACAAAAAGCCACTAAGAAACCTCAAAAAAATCTCATTTCTCCGATTTCGTCAATGCTCTCTGACAAATTTTGAATTTACTTCAAAACCCATTTCTCCAATTCCAAGGTTTTCATCAAAGAAACTCGCTTTGTTGTTTATTTTTATTTTTAAAATTTGGGATATAATGGAATCTACCATGAAAATTTCGTATTCAGTAATATTTCCCATAAATTCAACACCAAAATTGAATAGTTGTAACAAAATTTCATATGGGTTTGGATCCAATGGAAGCCACTCCATCTCCAAAATCTGCGCCGTTTGCTCCAATGGCTCTGTTTCTGCCTCTGATTCTCATAGGGTTAGTTCCGTTTCTTTTCTTTTTCCTTTATTTCCATAATTTTCGTGTATATCCATATCAAACTGTTTTGGGTTCTCTAAAGTTTCTTAATTAACAAATTTATAATGAAAAAGGAACCCTTTTTCTTGATTTCAATTTCGTCATTTTTTGTTAGTTGAATTACAGTGGAAAAATGCCTACTATATGTGAATTTCTTTGCAATTTATTTCTCCATGTCAGGTTTCTTTTGATCTGACTTAATTCAACTTGTTAAAATGTTGAATTTGTCCATTTTTATCCATTAAGCTCTAAGATACATAGTTGTTACCAAAAAAAGAAAGGCTTTAAGAAATCTAAGCTGTGTTCTGCCATTCAATCATCCAGCATTAACCTCAGAAAACATTTGTTCTGCCTATTTTAGTCTAACTAGCAGCTGGCTTGTGAAATGTTACATAAACTCATGCACGGTTTGGATCTTTCTTTCACTACTTGTTTCCAATAACTCATGCACAGTTTGGATCTTTCTTTCTCTACTTGTTTTCTATGTCTGGAGTAAAGAGCCAAAAATGCAATTTGGATACGAAGCAAACAATGTCTTAAAATAGTTAAGAATTTCGAAAACAAAGTTCATGATTTTACTTTTTCATAAAACGAGTTCGTTAGAATTGGTGTTATAGTTTAGCGTTTTGGTCCTACTTAATCAGTTGTAGATTTTCTTCCTACCTTTTAGAAACTTTTTATGAAGAATAAAATGCTAACAATCACACAAAGCCTTGATAATTTGGAAAGCTTTGTTAGTTTTGTTTTTATCACAGTGCTTCTTTTAGGTTCATCAAAAATCATTATCAGATGGATTTCCTAATTGTTGAGTTAATTGTGCTGTAGAGTAACTAGAGTTTCATTAGACCTTTGTGTATTCGAGTTGTATTTTAGACGAAAATTGTGTGTAACAATTTTGTGTCACGAAAAACCCGAAATACATTTCTTTTGTTTTTCTGATGAAATACATTTGTATTTTGTTTTTGTTGAATTCATATCTGTTAAAATTTTAATCTGTGTGACTTTCCTTTTTTTTTTTTTTTTATCATTTTCGTGTCATCTTTTTAAATTGGCAGGTCTAAGTTTCATCTTTATAAGCAATTGTATGCTATTTCTGATGCTGATACACCTTGAAATTAAGTCAGTTATCATTGTGTATAAATGAAATGTTAAATTTTGATGTTATAGGCTGAGTCAAGGGTGGGGGAAGGCTCACACAGACGAAGAAGCAGTCTGGAATCTCTATTTTGTTATGATAAGCCTATCCCTGAGGAACGAATTGAAGAACCAGTTGGGGTATCTTTGGCTGAAAAAATAGTTGGAGATAATCCCCACTGCACTGATTGTCGGGCCAAAGGTGCCGTCCTTTGTATCACTTGCTCTGGTTCTGGATTATATGTGGACCCAATAATGGAGAGCCAGGGTATCATTGTCAAAGTCCGCTGCCTAGGTAAATTAATTCTTCTTCAACAATTTCGTGTTTGTTTATGGATGTTTATGGCTTTATGCAGTCAATATTCTACATCTTTTATGTTCTTATTTCATTTTGCTATAGAAGGCAACATTTTTCAATCCTGAAAGCCTGATTCTGCATGATAGACAGATGGAGTTTTAAATAGGATTCTTAAAACTAGTCTATTGTATGGAAATTCTTTACTTGTGTTGTTTTATTTGATTTGGAAGGAAACAACAAAAGGATCTTTTTTGAAGTTGAAGAGAAGTTTTGATGTAATAGAAGTAGGGTTGTGTATTGAATGCTTCTGCATCAAGTAAAATTCAATGTATGATGTGGATCTCCGCATTGTAGGTCATTTCTTGCATCAAGGCTCCCGTATCTTGCTTTCATGCAATATAAACATTGTGAAATGGAAATTTTCAGTGCTTTTTAGTGAATTGCATTATGTGTTTACATCATTGACAAGTCAGACCTTCATTTCAGTTGAAGCATATGGATTGACTTGATAACTCTACCTATTAACATTGCGAATGCATTTTTTATCCAATCACCACAGACAGTCATAGAAATAGAATGCAAGCTTGTCAACTCCACTGGTCATTGCTACCTCAGTTGTCCCCATTGAGGGCCACATGAGTATTCTTATAATGCACTCAGAGTCATTTTCATCTTGTATCATATTTTCACTTGTAAACTTTTAACAACTTCATACTGTTAAATGTGGCCAATATGTTGCATTAGTATGATATTTGTTACTGTTCAGGTTGCGGAGGATCTGGCAATATTATGTGCTCAGAATGCGGTGGCCGAGGTCATCTAGGACCCAAATAACTTGTGGTTGCCCTCTCTACCTTTATCCGTAGCCTTTTTATACAAAATTTTAAGTTAATTTATTCTAGTCATGTAATTTGGTTACAGAATTCAGTGTCCTATTTTGGTAATTCAATGGTAAAATATATTAAATTAATGTATCTGACTCATGCAATTTTCATTTTAAAATCGCTTTGGTATATATGTTAATTGATCCGGAGCTGCATTTGCTTTATGGTGAAATGTTTGGTTCTGTAGATTATTTCATGGATACATTGAATCATCAGAAAACATAAACGCCATAGCATAAATAATGCGTTGAAACAGGGCAGCAGTGGAAACTATGTCCATTAGGTGGATTCTTCTATTACATTGAATATTATCTGTTGCCACATCAAGCTTGCTTTCTTTTTGTGTATAATGAGAAAAGATTTCATTTGAAATGTAGTCCATCTGATGCTACAAATTTACAACAGTAATGTCTGGAATTTACAGAGAATAAGTTGTAAAATTTTTCTTGTTAAAGTATTGTTATCTCATATCTAATAAATATTTAATTTTTTATAATTTTATATTCAAGTTGAGTGTTGTTATTTATTACTAATTGGTTTTAAGATAGATATTTAACATAATATCAGTGTCAAAATTTTTTTTTCTATTGTCCTGCCTAAATTTATCATGTGCTTTTTTTTTTAATCTCTGTCTTAGCTTATTAAAGTGATGTTATCCCAAATTTAATAAATATTTAATTTTATGTTCTTTTTAAAATTGTCATATATTTAACTTCCTACCCTTTTTGAATTTATCATGATAGATTTCTTTTATCTCTGTTTACACGTGATGATAGCTTGTTTAAGTGGTGTTATCGTATATTTAATAAATATTTATTTTTTTATAGTTTTGTATTTAAGTTGAGTTTATTAAAGTAGTATTATTTCGTATTTAATAAATATATAATTTTTTATAATTTTATATTTAAGTTAGAATCTTTTTATTTATTACTGAATTTTTTTAACAAAAAAGTCGACGAAATAAAAAAGAGTTTGTATGTAATGATATTTGAATTTTAAATTAAAAAAAAAAAATAACGATTGCATGAATAAATTAAGTTAAATTTTAAAATTAAAAAAAATTGATATGATAAGAAAATAACAATGTTATATCGAAATAAGATTCGAATTAAAAGAGAACAAAGATTTGACAAGACAAGAACATTACAAGGTTGCTTAAGATGCAAGCTGTTTCAGTGGCAAAAATCTTGTGAGGCTCTTCCAAATCAAGACAGTTGTGCTGACAAACGTGTGCATTCCAAAGGAGAGTAAAAATTTTGGGTCTGTTTGTTTCGGAAAAATAACAGTTTTTATCTTTTAGGAATTTGCCATTAAATATATAACTTTTATTAATTAGTTATTTAAATTTAAATTTAAAAATATTAAAAATAAATAATATAAATACCTTTATAAATTTTAAAAAATAACAAATTTATATTTCAATTTTTAGCATTATTTATTTAATAATAATTATTTGACATTAAATATATAACTTTTTATTCATTAGTTATTTAAATTTAAATCAATTAAAAATTAACAAATAAAATTTATATCAAATTAAATTATATTAAAAATTTATTTGTGAGATATAGTGGATTTATTGTCCAAAATTAACTCTCGTATTTATTTTTAAAACTTTTTTTGTTAAATTTCATAAGTAATTATTCAATCAAATTCATATAAAACATAATTTTCATTCTATGGTCTATGACATACTATGAGTTTGTGATTTTGAACAAAATATAGACAAATTTTTTTTTTATTTCTCAATTATTAATTATTTTAGTATAAATTATCATATCATAATGTGAATGTCATCAAAACATTTAAACTTTATTTTAAGTAAAGCATATAATTTTTTAATTTTCAATATATAATCTAATTTAATTTTAACAAAATGAAATTTGTCATTTTATTATAATTTCATATTTTATAAAATATTTTATTATGCAAATGATAAATTTTGTTATTTTCCTTTTAATTTAATTGATTTTTAAACAAAAAAAAAGAAATTAAAATATTTTATTAATGTGAATAATAAATTTTCATCAATTTTATTATTTTAGGTTCAATAATTAACAAAATTAATGAATATTTATTCTTACTTTTTGTAAAAAAAGTTTTAAAAGTTGTGCTTAATTAAAAGAAATTAAATTAAAAAAAAAAAAAACACTAAAAACATAGCTTAAAATGACCGCAAACCCGTTTCCGCGTTCTTCCCTGTCATCTATGCAGCCTCAGCCACAACTTCCTCTCCAAAGACTGCAGCACTTTTCACCAGAGCAGTAGATTCACGTTGGTTCAAAACCCACAGGTAAACCGCAAAACCCAACTCAAAGGAAGAAACTTTACATTCAAAGAAGCAACTTTAGTTTCGGAAAAATGAACCCATTATCTCAATTTTTGTTGGCAATTCTCTTTTTCCATAGCTCAGAATACATTTTAGCTGTTGCCACTCATAGGATATCAAATGTTAGACTCAGTTCACTTCTTGTCAGCAAAGAATATGTTTTAGCCATGATCTTTTCATTGGTTGAATACTTTTTTGAAGACCTTTTATTCCCTGGATTAAAAGAATATTTGTGGGTTAGTAATCTGGGGCTTGCAATGGTTTTTATAGGAGAAACTGTAAGAAAATTGGCTATTGTAACCGCAGGTCGGTCTTTTACACATTTGATTAAGGTTCGTCATGAGGATCATCATAGGTTGGTTACTAATGGAGTTTATGGATTCGTTCGTCATCCCAGTTATTGTGGTTTCCTGATTTGGTCAATCGGTACTCAGATAATGCTGTGTAATCCCATATCAACTATTGGTTTTGCGGTTGTCGTTTGGCAGTTTTTTGCAAAGCGCATTCCTTATGAGGAGTATTTTTTGAGGCAGTTTTTTGGGGCTGATTATGAGGAGTATGCTCAAAGAGTTCCTTCTGGGGTTCCATTTGTGAAGTGAAAGCTTATGGATTATGTCTTTAGTGCTGACTTTGATTCACATAAGCTTTTTTAGTGTGATTTGTGGGTGAGTAATTTGGGGCTTGGAATCATTGCAATACTAGTAGTTATTAGAAAGTTGGCTATTGTGACCACGGTTAGTCTTTTACACATTTGATTAAGGTATGGTTTGCCATGAGAGCATTATAAGTTGTTTACAAATGGAGTTCATGGATTAGTTTGTCATCTAGGTCATTAAGGTTTCTTTGTTTGGTCATTTGGTACTCAGATAATGCTATTGTAATCTGTGTAGATGATTGTTTTGCTCTTGTAGTTTGGTGTTTTGTTGGTTGTGTTAGTAGGGCTGTTGTTTGTTTGCTTAAGCTTTTTAAGTGAGGGAAAGGACATTCTTTTGAACCTGAAAAGATTGGTGGCCGGTAAGAACAAGATGTTCTAAAATGTTCTGTTAAAAGCACTTTACATATTTCTCGATGATTAATTTCGCTCATTTGAAAACTAAAATATTTTATCTGTTGGTTCTGATATACAAACCTATTTATTATTATTGTTGGCAGATTATAATGTTGATTATTCCAATTTTGATCCTGTTGACGCTATAAAGTTGCTAAAATTAGAAAAGTTCTCCTTTATTTATGGATCTCAATTTGAAAAAAGATGGCCGGCGACAGTCTCCTTCAAAATAGATCCTTGATGAACAGGGATATGCTTGAGATTCATACAAGCATGCAGCGTGCAGTGACTAATGGGAATACATTATTGAAGGAGCCCTAAGAACCTAGTTTGATGGACTCCACCTTCACTATCTTGTTGTTTCACCATAGGTGATAGGAATGGGTTCTACTGCTCTAGTATAGGAGCAGCTCTTTGGAATTACAAAGAAGATTGCTTCGCTGCTATGTTGACTCTGGAACTGTTGAAGATCTTGTAGTGTTGAGTGCTTTCCCCTTGGTTTTGGGTCCTGGTAAAGGAGATTTTATGGAGCAGAATCATGCACTGGACATTATTGCTTGGTTTGGCTGTGATGAACTGTCCAGTACCAGACCAAGCCAACTGGTTTGATAATGTTCTGATATCTGAGAAAGGAATTCGGTGTTCGGAGTTTGGATTGGTTATTCTGTTTTATAGCATATTGTAAATGTTCTTGAGCAATTAACTAATCAGGGGATAAAGGTACTCTTGTACTTCTGAACACTCCATCTGGTTAAAATGCTTCAAGTCCAGGAATTGCAAAAGGATTGCTGAGAATGAGTCTGGCTTAAGAACAACCGGATGTAGCATGGCCCCTTGTGTTAGTTGATTGGATAGCAAAGATTAGCATTTATATCTATTTTTTTTTCTCATGCAAGATGCTTAAGTTGCTTTTCTAAAAGGCATCTAATTTCTTTCATAATTGCAATGTGTTGGAGTCAAACAGACAGACAAGCAGAACATAAAATTATCAACTTGTCTCTTATAAATTGAAAGCATGTGTTCCATATAAGCGCTCCTACAAGTTGCAATCAACGGTCACCCTGCCCTAGACATTAAAAACCATTGTCCCTAGACATCAACGGACACTTTTTCCATTTCAATGGAATTCCAGGACCAACTTCTTTAAACCAACATGACCTACTAGCTAAATTCACTTAGAAATTGCATCGAAAGCACATCCGCTGATCGGCGGCCTACATAACTTGATCAGAAAGTGACGGTAGTCGCCAGAAGAAGTTGACCGGAACCGCTGGCATGTCATCTCTGAACTTAGGGTGGCGGATATGGTAGAATCCTGACCCTAACACGAACACCTTGAATGGTACCACATAAAATAGCATTGAAGAAAACAGGCAAAACACCACAAAAAATGCCAGAAGTTCTTGGGTCCCTCCAATTCAACAAGGCCTCCAAAAGCGCTCTTTGGGCTGCCACATCACCTAAGAGCGTTTGAGCCCGGCCCGCTAACGCACTTAAACGATGTATTGTATTTGCATATTATCGGATGATCGTGAGGCTGTAAGTCCATCAAATTCTTCATCTAGCTCATCGGGACCCACAGAATCTACGTAGGAGAATCTGGGGTCGACGTTGTATGGGACCCGTAGTTGGTAGCCAAATCTCAACGCTAGGATCAAGAAGGCGTACATGAATACGGAGGGAAGCACTAGATGTGGACATAGCACCATTGCTACAAGCAACGCATAACATGAACCAAAATAGTTGTTGGAGGGTGGGCCCACGTGCGAATACCATCTAACCAACGTGCCAAAGTTGCCACAAGTGACAAAAACCCCATGACTCTAAACCAATTTGCCTTGCTCCTCCTCATGCTCCACACGTGCGTATCACTATCCAACATGAAGTGAACCACTTCTTGTCCCAAAGCTGGCCTGGACCTTGCTAGCCTAGCCGTCACTATGAACATAGCCGTGTGGCGCAGTACGTCTTGCTGGGCTGGACCCAATGGGCGAGTATAGTGCATTCTTGGTAACATTGGGGTGCCATACGCTTGAATTAGATATAGCCATGATGGACAAGAAAATCTAACGGCTATCTCAATCTCTCCCATCTTATCGGCCCCACTGGATAACAATACGGTTAGGGAGTATGAATTTACGTACACCCTATTTATATCGAGCGTTGATAATCGTACACTTGTTTTACCAATACATACATCTTGATTGATCTTTCCTGCTTCTTCAGGTTTGTACCTTTGATTGTCGAATACACCAATAGTAAGTACCGTACATGGGTCGTATACATCCCATGTGTATTGCTCATTCCAACGTGGATTAAACCGGTCCAGGATTTTACGTGTACGAACCCACTTGGCCCATACCTGGCCACCACGTAAGCATCCATGGTCCCATACCAACCTCAAGCAGGCCAATCGGAGCTTTAGCTAGCTGCTTAGCCGAGGCTCGAACATCGCTAGTCACGTGAGCAGCTTAATCAAGCACGTGATACCCACCTTCCAAACATGCTCTCACATGGATTCTCCCTGCGTAAGGCTTATTTTCACCGCCAACTAAATTGAACCATCTTGATTTTAGCCCCATTTTATCATCTGTCCTCTCAATGTTCGGCAAATGAGTTTTAGCCTGACCTACTGACTGCCTGTTACTCACATCTTCAACCGTGACCACCAAAAAATGGCTCAAATGACTCGGCCGCTACCAAAACAAAATCCTCATTCCAGGCTGACCCAACTTGAGTCCTAATAGTTTTAAAAAGTTGAGCCCCAAGCTGAGCCTTAACATACAGTTCAGGACTCCGAACCTTAGCTTCAGACACCAAAACAAGCTGCAAATCTTGGGTTTGGATAACCGTTAGTCTCAAATACCAGACAAGTAAACCTTGGCTCGGGTCTCAGGTATTAACCCAACCGAATCCGACTGCCAAGCTTCCTGAAAGCTTCATGGGCCTGAGTCCCGACCCAAACGGCATCCATCACGTCATTTCCAGGGGACTTTTCGAATTCAAGACTATACCATTGAGCAGCTAAAGGACTATCCAGAGGAACCCTTTTCGGCACTTCTTGCAAATCAAACGACACCGTTCCAACACAATTCTCCACCAAAAAGGAAGAAGCTCCTTCTTTTTTCTCTTCTTCAGTCCAAACTGAAACTTCTAAGGAACTTGAATTCAATCCATCTTTATCGAAAGCGAAAGCTTGATCCCAATCTTTATCCATTTGGCTTTTGGTTTTGATACTGTGAGTACCAATAACGAGCTTGGCATGAAGGGGACATGCTGGTTCTTCGTTGGCTAGTTTCGCATTAACAACTCGGACGTATAAAAATGGCATACGGTCTACGAGATCGTTCGCGATTCGGCTATGATCAATGGAGAGCGATCGGAGTTATGGCTCGTTGATGATTTGTTCAGTGCTTTTTGTTCGGAGTTCTATCTCCGCAGCCACTGACTCTACATCATGAACCAGAAACTCCAGCTTATCATCCCAGACAGGATTCAGATCTCTGAACTTAGTCTTGGTTCTTCTCCTTTGGCCATCGAAATCAACTATAGCATAAGCACTGGCAGTTCCTTGCCCATCTTTTGGCATCAGGTTTTTGGCCTTGCAGATTTCAACTATCAGCTTTCTAGTGCAATTCTCTGCCATTTTTTGTGAAAAAATGAGGTTCTACAGAGAAATCTCAATCTGGGTTTGGAGAGATTGAGCAAATACAACTAGAAAGAGAGTTTTTTAAAGACAGGATTGAAAAGAAAGGGAGAGATGTTGAGTTTTTTCTTGTGGAGGAAATGCGGGGCCAGGTGGGGGGGTTTAAAAGGGGAAGACTTTGAAAGAGAGTTAAGCGTGGACACGTCAACAATGCCACGCAAGACAAGTCACAGGTGGGAAGATCTTGGAGGGCATGATTGGTTTTGGATAATCGTGAAGACAGTATCAGGTAAGCCCCCAGCTTGTCTGGTGCTGGGAGCCTGGGACTACTGGTAATTTGTAATGAGGCTTGGGTTTGTAGATATTTACCAAAATGCAAATGAAATGTTCATGAATTTTGACTGGGATTTTTTTCTCTTCACTTTTTGTATGAATTTGATTGACAGAAGGAATCATGAAAGAGTCATACTAAATGCCTGAGAATAGGGAAAAAAAATCCAAAGTTTTGCATGTAAAACCTTTCCTTATTTTCTTCCTTTTGCTTTTTGGAATTTTATTTTTTCTGATTTCTTTTTGTCTGAGTTGTAGTACTAATTCATCATTCTTGTGGGGCTTGTTCCATAAAAACATTAATAAGAATGAAAATGTATATTTATATTATGTTTGTTTAATGTTAAATATGTATAAAATATAAAATTATTATTTTATAATTTGTATTAATAAATCAAATATGAAATATATTTTTTTTTATTAATTTAAAATCGAGCTCGTTCGAATCCCACAAAAAAAGTAACTCTCTAAATTTATTTTTTTATTCACAAAATTTAAAATCGATATCTTACTTAAAAAAAAATTGAATTCATCATCACTCAAACCAATAAATGTTGGTTTTATGTTTTCTTATTTAAAATTAGTAAAGTATCATGAACATAAATTTATTGGACTTTCAAATTCATAGATCAAAGAGGATACATCAATGCATAATTATCGTACTTTTTATGAAAAAAATGAAATCGACAGTACGTAATTGTCATGTTTAATAATCATAGGTTTACATTGTAAAGTCTAGTAGTGATCAGATATGATTAAGAGGGTAATTTTTTTATGCAGAACCCAAGATTTATATATGAAAACAAGAAGAATAAACAGATCAAGATTCTTATAAATTTCAGTTGATTATGTAAAAAGGCATATGCATTTTTATTTATTATGTAAAAAGGCATATCTACAAGTGGCCATATGCAACTGCTACACTCTGCAGAAATGAACGTTTGCTTTGTTCTTGTGCTTTTCTTTGGAGTTTGTTTACCAGTCTCTTGGGATAATATA